CCACCCACACCCACTCATGTATTTATCTAACCAATTTTTAAAACTACACAACGTTTTAGCCTCTATAACTGTACTAGGGAGTTTGTTCCACTCATCCACAACTCTATTACCAAACCAGTGCTTTCCTATATCCTTCCTGAATCTGAATTTTTCCAACTTAAAACCATTGTTTTGAGTCCTGTCTAGGCTAAATATTTTCAGCACGTTATTTACATCCCCTTTATTTATTCCTGTCTTCGATTTACACAGCTCAATCATATCCCCCCTAATTCTACGCCTTTCTAGAGAGTGCAGATTCAGGACCCTCAGTCTATCATCATAGGGAAGATTTCTGATACATGGGATCAACTTTGTCATCCTCCTTTGTACGTTTTCCAGAACATTTATATCCATTCTGTAATACGGTGACCAAAACTGTTCAGCATAATCTAAATGAGGCCTAACCAAGGATATATAGAGTTGAAGAACAACCTGAGGACTCCTATTATTTATGCTTCTTGATATGAAGCCAAGGATTCATAAGAAGAACATAATAGCATAAGAAAGAACACTGCAACAGGCCTATGCGAGGCAGATCCTAATTCTCCAATCGGCTTAAGCCAATGCCTTGACCTAGTGAGGTCAGAGACGTCACTTAAGGGAGGAGCAGTGCATCCGACATAGTAGCACAAGATAGTCAGATCCAACTCACACCCACCCACACCCACTCATGTATTTATCCAACCTATTTTTAAAACTACACAACGTCTTAGCGTCTATGACGGTACTCGGGAGTTTGTTCCACTCATCCACAACTCTATTACCAAACCAGTGCTTTCCTATATCCTTCCTGAATCTGAATTTTTCTAATTTAAAACCATTGTGCGAGTCCTGTCTATGTTAGATATTTTTGCACGCTATTTACATCCCTTTATTTATTCCTGTTTTCCATTTATACACCTCAATCATATCCCCCCAATTCTACGCCTTTCTAGAGAGTGCAGGTTCAGGGCCCTCAGTTTATCCTCATAGGGAAGATTTCTGATACATGGGATCAACTTTGTCATCCTCTTTTGTACGTTTCCCAGTGCATTTATATCCATTCTGTAATACGGCGACTAAAACAGCGCAGCATAATCTAAATGAGGCCTAACCAAGGATATATAGAGTTGAGAGCAACCTGAGGACTCCTGTTATTTATACTTCTTGCTATGAAGCGAAGTATTCTGTCAGCTTTACTGCGAACACTAATGCACTGTTGTCTTGGTTTTAGATTACTACTAACCAGAACTCCTAAATTCTTTTCGCAATCCATAATATTAAGATCTACATTATTTAGTTTATATGTGGCATGGCTATTTAACTGTCCGACATTTAGAACTTTGCATTTGTCTATATTAAACTGCATCTGCCACTTCTCCGACCACTGCAACAGTCTATTCAAATCATCCTGGAGTGCTCTAGTGTCCTCATTAGAATGAATTGGACGGCCTTTTTTGATGTCATCAGCAAATTTGCTTATATCGCTATTTATTCCCTCATTTATGTCGTTTATGTATATTGTGAACAACAAGTGGGCCCAACACTGACCCCTGTGGAACACCGCTTGTGACGTACCCCCATTCCGATTTCTCCCCATTTATGCAAACTCTCTACTGCCTATTCGTCAACCATGCCTCAACCCAGGAAAAAAATTCTCCTCCTATTCCGTGTGCCTTAAGTTTCCTTAATAGCCTCTGATGTGGAACTCTATCAAAAGCCTTACTGAAGTCCATGTACACAGTGTCATATTCAATTCCATGATCTACCTCCTCAAACACCTTAGTGAAGAAAGTTAGAAAATTCGTAAGACAGGAACGCCTCTTTGTAAAGCAGTGCTGAGATTCATTAATCAGTTTATGCCTTTCGAGATGGCTACGAACTGCTTCGGCAATTATTGATTCCATAAATTTTCCCACTATGGAGGTAATGCTTATTGGTCTATAGTTCGAAGCTAAGGACCTGTCACCTGCCTTGTAAATAGGTATTACATTTGCCAGTTTCCACTTGTCAGGCACTATGCCCGTTTGTAGTGATATATTGTAAAGATTAGCCAAAGGTATGCTAAGTTCCTCTTTACATTCCTTTAACACCTTTGCAAACAGTTCATCAGGGCCTGGGGATTTGTTAACTTATAATTTCTCTATTTGTCTGAGGACCATGTCACTAATTACCGATAATAGTTTATTATCGTCCTGTTTTACATAATCTATTATTTCTTGTAATTTCGCTAGTATCTTCCTTAGTAAAAACTGAGAGGAAGTAAGAATCGAAAATTTCACACATATCCTTAACACTGTCAGTGATCTGACCAGAGTTACTCTTAAGTGGGCCAATCTTGTCCCTAATCTTTCTTCTGTATACCTGAAAGAACCTTTTGGGTTAGTTTTCGAATCCCACAACACTGGGCTAACACAAAGGTAACTTTCACTTCTGGGTGGACAAGGATAGTAGAGGAGAGTAAGGAAACTTGCCCTTATGTTTCTTCTTGTTAGGGAAGTGAGGGAAGGAAAAGTGATGAAAAGGAGAGTGAGGGGACTTGAGGGAATCAAAGACAAGGAGGAAGGGATAGCGAGGGGGAGTTAGAGGGATGAGGTATGGGGACAGAGAGAGAGAGAGAGAGAGAGAGAGAGAGAGATGAAGGAGTTGGACGGGTAAGACACACGAAATATTATTCCTTGTCTAGTTGATAATGGATTGAGCGAATATTTTTTAGTGGTTCTGGGTTTGAGAAGGACCTGCCAAGTATGGGCTAGTAGGACCTGATACAAGTGTTCCTCCTTCTTATGTTCTTAAAGAAAAATATTTCGCACACAACGTATAATTTCAGCAGTAAAGGTTGCCTCGTCCTTGGTAGCCCTCACAAGCGCCTCCAGCAATCCCAAAATCCTGCGAGAATCCTTTATGGGAGAACACAATCCCTCTCCTGCAGCCATTCCCACACTGCCACTCTTCTGCTAGCTTAGTACATTCCTGCTTTCTTCCCCACATTTTTACCTTCTAGGATGTATATTATACCGCTGTTTAGAATAACTGTGTATGTTGAGTGCTTGGGTCAGTGTTCGTGCGTGTGTAAAGGCCTGTCTGTGGCTAAGGGGGTCTAGCCACAGCACCTAAACCGGTCTCTTAATCTCATACGACTGGTTTCAAAAGGTCTACGCTTAATGGGTTCTGTCGTATCAGCTATGTGTGGGTTTGCTTCCATTTTCTCCTTTATAACAATCTACAAACAGGAGTAAAGTTATGAATGAGACTCATGTACAATACGCAGTACTTGGGTATATTAACTAAGCTGACGTCTTCATATGAAAGTGAGCCAAGTGATACACATGTGAGTTTTGCAGCAACATGTAACACACTTCTACTCTGATTACCACTGCTACTACTACTTCCTCTCTTTACTCTCCTCTCTGTATCTTTTACCACTACCACTACTCTACTGCCACTACTACTTCTACTGCGACTTCCACTACCAGCATTACCTCTACCACTACTTCTCTACTTCCTCCTTTCTTCATCTCTTTGTCCCGTTCCTGGCCCCGTCTCCTATATACACTGGCTCCCTCACCTGTCTCAGTGTGACTTGTAAATGGCCCAAATCGGACCGAAACGTCGTCATAAGTTTCTCTCTCCTATGTGCGGGTTATTTGTGTATTTAAAGAACAGTTAGCCGAATATTTGTTCATTTCAGTGGTTGCATAATTTACTACCTTCTGTTGGATACCATTCCAGTATTGTATCATTCTATTGTCAAGAAAAACATTTTCATAGTCTTTCGTCTCTGTTTTTGTAATAATTTGCGATTATGTCTTAGCAGCATCAGCAGGAAATGCTGATTGTGCTAAATAAGTATCTTTATCTATTTTCTCGTATACTTAAATGATTTTGTATACAGTGATCGTGTCTCCTTTCCTATGAGCCAGCGAGAGAAGCATAAGTGCCTCCATTTTTTTCTGCATCTCACATATCTTCATTCCAGGAGACTTTTTATAGCATGTCTTGGGTTTTTCCTTGTCTTATGTGTATATTTTTTACTGAGTTGTAGACACCACACTTACGATGAGCAACACACGTAAGCAACACAAGAAATCTTTATAGAGATTTCGTCTACGCTGCAGCCATCATCAGTCATGCACAATAATAAATAAAAAAAGATTCTTAATGTTGCAAATACGTCTTGCTCATCAATTTCTCGGTATTGCATACCATGATAAAACATTTATGTTACATAATTATATTTAAACATAGGTAAATACGTAAATATCTGCGTCAACATCTCTCCATCAAGCATCATCAGAGTTTCTAGATTAGCCAAGAAATTTCTGAAAAAAAATCATCACTGATTTTTTTCAGATTTGTTATAGCTATTTAATTTTAAATGCCAATTACGGAATTCTTCAGTGTTCGTCACAGAATCAGCAATCTTCTGGCGTTATCCAGTTTCCATTATTAAATATATAACTCCACTAAATTTGAAATTCTATCTCTTACCCAGTTTACTAGGTATAAGCACCAGAAGGGATCATTAAAGAATGGATGAGGCCTGGTCACGAACCGGGCATCGGGGGGCGCTGACCCCTGGAACACCCTCCAATTATACCATCTTCAAACATGTTTATATAGTTTTGTTTCCTATTGACAATTCAGTCATATGAATTAGAAAGATAATGTGGGTAAGTACCGATCCTTGGGGAACCCGCGGCTCACCTTTCTCCAAGAGGAAACATTATATTTTTATCGTTGTTTGATTAAAAGTAATGCAGGAAGTATTTTCTTTATAAATGGCGTGGCTGACGAGCGAAATGTGCTCCAGGAGAAGAGTGAATAATTGCGATGATTTTGGAAATATACGACTAGTGAAAGGTACCTTCAAGTACCTAATTACACACACACACACACACACACACACACACACACACACACACACACACACTGCATCACCACCACCACTAACTTCTTTCCCCTCATCTTCTCTGCTACAGCGCCTCCGTCAGCACCTGTCAACTGCAGCCTGACTGGGGCGGGGCGGGAGGTGGTGACTGTCACCTGTCAGCCTGGGGACCCACCTTCCATGCCGCAGACATACCGTCTTCAGATCTATGAGTCACATACCAAGAAGCTCTACCATAATGTCAGCAGTCATTTGCCAAGGTGAGTGAGGGTGAATAGGTGAGTAAATGGGTGAATAAGTGAGTAAATTAGTAAGGAGGTGGGTAAATGGGTGAGGTGAGGAAATGAGAAAGTAAAGAAATGGTTAAAAAAGTGAGTAAATTGGTAAGTTGGTCAGTAAATGGGGAGTAGGTAACTAAATGGGTATGTGAGGAAATGGGTAAGTAGGAAAATAAATGGGTAGGTCGTGAATAATTGACTGGAAAGATGTGGAATATGGATGAGGACGATAGTAGAGAAAAGAAGAGATGAATACAGGGAAGAGAAAGATGAGCAAAGGAAAACAGGAAGTGAATAAAAGACAAAGAAAAATGAATGAAAGACAAGGAATAAAAATAGGTGCATGGAAAATCTTGCAAAAGAATGTAGAGCAGATGATGATAACGAGGTAATTAAAAAATGGAATGTTAAGACAGGAAGTGAAAAAAATATGGTAGATGGTTTTGAGGTGAGTAGGGGAGGGGGTGGGGGGTGGAGGGTGAGTAAAGAGGGGGGCGACAGGTGAGCAGATACGCACTCACATGAGTTATTGTGTCTCCAGACCTCTAATTAATCTAGTGAATGTCTGGAAATTTTACTAATGACAGATTCACGTAGTATATTTATGATGCAGATTTTTGCGTCCATCGTGTGACATGGGGAAGCCCTGAACTTTTCTGTATATGTATGTATGTACACACACACACACATAATATATATATATATATATATATATATTATATATATATATATATATATATATATATATATATATATATATATATATATATATATATATATATATATATATATATATAACAATATATATATATATATATATATATACACATATATATATACACATATATATACACACACACACAATATATATATATATATATATATATGTGTGTGTGTGTGTGTGTGTATGTATGTATGTGTGTGTGTGTGTGCCTTTTTGCAATTGTAATACAATTGCAAAAAGGCGATCTTAACAATGCAGGACAAACTAAGCGGGGATGGAAATCTTTAGTTCAAGATCTTTCGCACTCTCTGTGCGTCGTCAGTAGCTATGCTATGATGCAAGATTATCAAGAGACAAGAGGGGAAAAATTCTCTCTGAGGCAAAGTAGAAACGTAAAACGTCGGACCATGTCACATGTGTGTGTGTGTGTGTGTGTGTGTGTGTGTGTGTGTGTGTGTGTGTGTGTGTGTGTGTGTATCAGTGTATCAGGTTGCATGATCAATTGTTGATTTACTAAAAAATGTAAAAAACTACAGATGATAAAATAGCGTGACAGGAAAAAAAAGACTCGTATGGAGAGAAGAAAAATAAAGAGTCGGATAGAAAAAAATAGGGAGAGGAAAAAAAAAAGAGAGAGGATGAGAAGTGGAAAAAAATCATGGTAGGGAAGAAAATGTTGTCCACGTCTCCCTGGTCAGACGTGCGGAGAAATTTATAACGACCCGGAAAGCAAGAGCTCACGTTACAAGCTTTTATTTTTTTTTCCTAGCGCTGAGACTTTTTTTTTCTTTGGGGAGCAAGGCAGCGTTGAGAGTTGCACTTGTTTTGAAAGAGGAGACTTGGAGCTTTTTTTTTTTTTCCTCTAAAACTTGGGTGAGATTAAAAATTTCTCTCACACTGCGAGTTACAATTAGTCTCGGAGTTAGCACACTGAAAATACAAAGTGTATTTGCTTTTATACATCGTATATATGTGGCAACAGTTCGTAATAAACGAACATAACAGTTCTAATGATATGGCGGGATTTGAACCGGCGACCTGGTGAGCGTCGAGCATTGCACTTGCAATCTCAGGACCGCCAGCTCCCGTGTTTGACTCTTGGTATTATATTAGGAAATGTTGCAATGAATGTTTATCGATGCAAAGCAATTGTTATTTAAGAAATAACTCTGTTGTAAAGGTTTCTAGTTAAGGTCCAAATATACAGACCAAATTTATCTTCCCAGTTTCAGTCTCCATGTGAGTTATTACTCAACGTTACATATATATATATATATATATATATATATATATATATGTATATATATATGTTTAACAATTCGCAAACAGCGAAATTATTTACAAACATTGTCTCTACGTCTAAAGCAGGACTCGAACCTGCAAACTTCATATCACAGTACTCTGGTTCCGTGGTAAAGTACAGTGGTCTCTGAAACAGAGTTTTCAGATTCGAGTCCTGTTGTGGAAGAAGAGACAACGTTCAAAACACACACACACACACACACACACACACACACACACACACACACACACACACACACACACACACACACACAACATATAAATATATATATATATAATATATATATATATATATATATATAAAATATCGTGTCGAATGTTAAAGATATAGATTAAGCACAGATTTAATCTGAAGAAGAGGTGTGTAACTTCAGTCCCTGGGACCAAGAGCACCTCACCAACAACAAGGGACCAGCTTCAATTTATCCTTTTTGTTGTTCTCTCTCTCTCTCTCTC